TCAGACGAGGAGATTGAAAAACTTCAACACACAGCCTCTCTGAAGACACTCTGTTTACCGCTCCTGAACGGCGAAGGGACAATATTATGCGACATCTCCACAGGCACACCTAGACTAGTTGTTCCTTCACCCTGGCGTGAGCATGTTTTTGATGCTTTGCACAGTCTTTCGCATCCTGGTATCCATGCTACTGACAAACAGATATCTACTGGGTTTGTATGGCCTGGTATTAACCGTGATGTTCGAAACTGGACACGGTCGTGTATTCCGTGCCAACGTTCACAGCGTCCCACCACTTGGAACTTTTGCCGAACCGGATTCACGATTCGCCTATGTCCATTTAGACGTTGTCGACCCACTTTACTCTACACCGACACAACTACAAAAACCCTTGCCGCCAGACCATCAGAAAGACTTGTCTAGTCGTGAATACCGTGAATCTTCTAAAGAAGCTACCCCTATTATCACCGATCCAGTACCTTCCACACGTACATTGGCCCACACGATACGCCGATTTCACTAATTAGCCCCACAGCAACTTTACACTTGGTTAATTCGGAGTTTCAACTATTTTATCCTTACACGCACTAACACTGCGTTTTCATATCTAAAGTTTTCACAAGTTTTGTTCATTACTTAAAAAATTTTTTTCACAAAAAAAGCAACTCAAAAATACAATTAAAACTTCACAAGGGTTGTTTTGCTTGGTCATTATCTTTTTTCTGTACTTGACTCACTTCTCATTTGTTTGGTTTTTCTTTCCTTAGCACTCTAATGTCCTATTTCTTTCTTCTTGCAGAACCTAGGAAATGCGTTGAAAATTGGATACAATTGGCCGCTGACGATGCTACTTGGATCGTTCCTAGGTTCTCTTTGTACCAATTTTCCCCCTTATACAATCCCCGGTAGATTGAGAATCAATAGGGAAAAGTAGACGGAGGCTTTGGATCATTTTCCACCACTGCGAGAAGGGTTGCGTCTAGACGCAAAGTTCTCTTACCTCTTAGGTGTGTGTGGTTGCACTAGCTTCGGAGGCTCACAAGTCACCTACTCCATCACCAATATAGAAAGGTGTTGCGTGTCCGCCTCGCAGTCTCCTCCTAGAATTGAAGGTTGCTGGTATCCCAACAAGCTTCTAGGAGGGGGATAACCTGTAATGCACCTTCATGGCACAAAATACAACTAGGGCTAAAATATTTTATATTATTATTCGTCCCTTGGGTTCCCGTCTGGGTTCCACTCGACGGCCTGGCCTAGAGCGTGCTGTCCCCAGCCGGCCTTCTCAGTGTATGCCCAATCCATCTCCGCTTCCTTCTGCATATTTATTGATCGATAGGTTCTTGGTTGGTTCATTGTCAGCTAGCCAGAGTTCCATGTTGCTTATTCTTGTTATTCTGGTCATCTGATCTTTAGTAACGAGCCAGTGTAGGCAGTTGTTGATGAATAACCGTACCTTGTTGGAAATCCCTTTCGTAAGGCGCTAAGTCTCTGAGCCATACAGGAGCACTGACTTGACGTTGGTGTTGAAAATCCACATCTTGTTCTTTATGCTGAGTGCAGAAGGTTAATGAACGCCTGTCTTGCTGGCTTTCCGATCCTGGCTGGCTTTGACATCCTCGTCTGTGCCGCTGCCTGTAGTTGAAACAGTGCTGCCATGATAGATAAAAGAGACTACTTCCCTTAAGTTTCTCCATCGGTGGTGATTGGAGCTTGTTGTTGTTGGTGGTGGTGGTGGTTGGGTATCTTAATCACCACTGTCTTCTCTACATTCACCTGAAGCAAGTCCCGTCTTCTCTGCCTCCCCTCTTCTGTCAACTTGTTAGTTTTCGTCTGTACATCTTCGAGTTTGTGCGACATCAGACACAAGTCATCTTTGGCGAAATCCAAGTCTTCTAGATTCTTTTGGCAGTCCAGAGTATCCCCCTCTTCTCACTGCTCACTGTTTGTTGCATGATCCAGTCCAGTCGACCACCATCAGGAATATCATGGGTGATGGTAGACAGCCTTGTTTCACTCCTTCCTATCCTCACTTGAAAAGCATCACTGAGCTTCCGATTATGAATCACTTGGCATGTAGCATCATATGGCATATAGTTGTTGAATGAGATTGATAAAGGTTTGTGGCACTAAAACCGTAGTGTTGAAGCAACTGCCAAATTACTTGTGTGTCGACGCTGTCGAAGGCCTTTTCAAAATCGATGAATTTGAGGTAGAGAGTTGACTGCCATTCTATACTCTGTTCTATGATGATGTGAAGTGTTGGAATTTGGTCTGCACATGATTTGTACTTCCTGAAACCAGCCAGCCAGCCATCCAGTTCCGATAGTAGTTTTGAATGCAGTGCATCCTTCAGTCTCTCCAGGATGATGCGGCTTAATATTTTGCTTGTTCTGGGTGGACAGGAGGGTGATTCCGCACCAGTTCTTGCAAAGACTTAGGTTGCCCTTCTTCGGCAGTTTGACTAGTTAACCCTCCTTCCAATCGTTGGGCTGGTACCTTCCATTCCTTCCAGACCTTCTGCAGTAGTGGTGTAAGCATGTCCACTGTTGTCTCTGCGTCTGTTCTCAGTGTTTGTGGATGGATTCCATCTGGTCCTGCTGCTTTCCCGCATTTCAGTAGGTTTATGGTGTTGAGGACTTCGACTTTTGTTGTAGAATTTGTGTTCACTTGTAGTTCTGTGGCTGAGCTGCATGTGGTGTTTCTGGACGAAGTGCAGGTGGTGGTGGTGGTGATCGATTCAACAGCTTTTTGAAGTGGTCAGCCCATCGTTTCCTTTGTTTCTCTTCTTTCGTAATTAAATTTCCGTCAACATCTTTTATTGGTTTCATCTGCGTTGATCTCTTCGATCCCAGATAGTAAGCTGGTCATTTGATATAATGTTGTCAGATCACTCCTACCCGCAGCCTGCTCTGCTTCACTTGCCAGTGTTTCATAGAAGTATCTCTTGTCTTTCCACACACTCTCCTTCACTTCTTTGTCCAGTGTTTTATGCATTGTACTCAGTTCCTCTTGTCGTTGAGCATCCTTGCACTGCTTTATCTTCTGCTTCACCATTCTCCTCTCCCTCATCTATCAACTTCCATGTGTCCTTCGAGATCCATTCCATTCCTTATCTTCTTTCTTCCTCATTCTCAATACGGCTATGTAGGTTTCTTTCCACATAGCTTTCAAAGAGTTACAGCGTTCATCCACACAGGTTTGTTCAGGGATGTTGCTCGATATCTCCCATTTTGTCTTGATTGCTGACGTGAAGATGTCCCTTGTAGTTTCGTCCTTTAGTTTCCAGATGTTGAACTTGAACTGTGATCTATCAGCAACCTCCCTGAAGGCTTTCAACTTGATTTTGAAGGTTCCTTGCACTAGATGGTGAGTGGTGTGAACCTACATCTGCTCCTCTTCTTGACCTTGTGTCAAGTAGACTGCGTCTCCATTTTCTTGAGATTGAGATAAAGTCGATTTGATTTTTAGTGTGTCCATCTGGTGAAATCCATGTCGCTTTGTGGATATCTTTGTGCTTCAACACAGTGCCTCCAATTACCAAATCGTCGAACGCGCAGAAGTCTGCAAACAATTCTCCATTCTCGTTCATCACCTCACCGAGTACTTCTCGACCCATGGTTAGTTCTCTTCCTGTGTTGTTCGCTCCCATTTTGGTATTCATGTCGCCCATTAGAATTTTGATGTCGCCAACTTTGGGTGGGTCTTGTCCAGTGTTGATTGAAGTTGTCTGTAGAATTCCTCCTTTTTCTCTTGCTCTGCATTATTTGTAGGTGCATAGCGTTGTATGATTGTGACCTTTCTTCCTTTTGAGTTGAACCTTGCTGTTATGATCCTGGAGGAGCTTGGAGAGCTAAAATAAATAGATTAAATTAAATTAACTAAATAAACCTCTAGCTCGCCTCCGGATGCTTAGGGTGTTTCAAGTTTTGTTTTAACGAGGATGCATCCGAGCAGGTTTTGACACCATTTTGCGCTTCCATAGTGCTGTTTAGCACGCACATACTCAGAGTCCCTACCTAGCTCAGCCATACTAGCCAGATAAGTTGAATAAACTTTTCCCCCATTCACTATTATTACATTTACTCTAATTAAATACATTACTTCTTCAAATATATTCCCGAACCAGTTCTTCTGGTTTGTGTTTCGTTATCAGTACTTACACGTTAGGTAAGGTACTGGTTAAGCAGGAACTAGAGCACATTAAGTTAAGTAGGGTTGATCAAACCTTACGGAATAGTAACACACACCCCCTACAACGTCATGAACCCACCTTTGATTGCTGTTTCGAATGACTTTATTTTCTGTGTAACCGCCACCGAGTGATACAACCTTAATATGAGTGTCTGTGTACGGTAAAAGATTTCATTTCACCCACCGAGTCTTAATTTATGAAAATCAGCTCATTCATCATACTCATGACCTAATAGATCGACTGATGATAGTTTTCAGTGAAGTCCTGCAAAAAAATACAGGTATCATTTTATAATAAGATTCATCGCTTACTTTATGTGCTGAAATACTTACCTACCTTCAGTTATTATTACTCAGGTAGCCCTGCTTTCACGATATATATATATATATATATATATATATATATATATATATATATATATATAATCACCCTTATTATTTAGGAATCCTGATTCCTTATACCATGCCATTTATTATTACAATTGCAGTTACATATATCGAACCCACTATTAAAGAGTAAAACATCGCGCTAAATCTCATAGTTTAAGTGACTTCTCTTCATTTGTAACAGCTATTTCTACGGTTATGAAAGTAATGAATAATATATTGTTCTACAGACCTCTACGAATTTAACTAACCCATATTCGATTGTCAGCTATATATTCCTCTAATATTCATAATTGTAAGACTATTATTGAATACGTCACTGAAATCCATTCATGAAGTTTAAATGAATAGAAAATGGTAGCTAGTAAATTCAGAACTCTACAGTTAACAAAAAGTGTGAAGAGTATAGGAACTAGACTTACTTATATACATTATTGTGAAAGTCGTTATAGGATGCATAGGCCATAAGTACACCGAATCCAGGCCCAAGCGAAAAGAACACTTGTGTTGCAGCATCTACCCATGGTTCTGCATACTTAAGTTTTCCTATATCTGGCCAAATGTAATGGTATATACCATCTATGGATCCCGGCAGCGTCAATCCACGAAATAAAAATATTGTCAGTACAACATAAGGGAATATTGCAGTGAACCAGACAACCTGGTAAAGAAAGTAGAATTTTATATGAAGTTCCAGTCACAGATGTATGATATTTTGATCGTAACATTAAACAGGGGCATTATAAAGAGGAACTCTTCACAGTATGAAACTTCCCCTGGACGAGATAGATGAGTTGTGTGTAGTGGTCTTTTTCAACACTAAATCCCGTTATGGCGACAATTGAATTTCTATGATTTGTATCATGGATTTAACTGATAACTATTATTCCAAGTCTTACGCTGTCATGTGAACATGACTTCTGTTGCGCCTCACTCTCTAATTATATGAGTTTTTGCCTTCGATGTTTCCATATTTTGATTCACGGGTTGAATCAAATGTGACTTTAAAGGTCACCGTAGTAACAACTAAAATAACCAATTAGGATTCTTTATTTTATAAAAATACCTTCCTGCTTGGTTGTTTAAATGGTTACTAGGGTGGCCACTGAAGTAACTCAGATTCTCTCTTGAATCGAAGAGAGACTCTAAAAATCATCCTGACAACAACTAAAATAATCAATTAAACTCAGTTATTTTATGAGAATCTGGCTTTCTGCCAAAATAAAGAAACCTAATCGATAGTTTCAGTCGTCGCTAGGATGTCTTTTAGAGGTCACTCGTTGACGAGTGCCTTCAAAAGCTATTCTGAAAACCACTGAAAAAGGCAATTACCTTTCTGTATTTTACGAAAAAACTACAGTTCTAACCAAGACAGATACATTATTCATTATATCAGCGGTTGTTAGGGCTGCCTTTGAAGTCACATCAGAATGACGCGGCAGTCAACTATTCAAAATTATTTCGCTTACTAACTCGAATGAGAATCATTTCAGGATGTTGCCAACTTTATTATTGTTATTATATCATGGGTGACTAGAGGATACCCTGACAACCAACAATCTAATCAATCGGGCGTTTTAGTTTCGGCTGGGTGACATTTTTGCAAAAAATGCAGAACCCTAATTGATTATTTGACCAATTACTATAGTGGCCTTTAAAGTTCCACTGACTTTGGAGGTCACCCTAAAAATTTCTGAGATAACCAATTACTTTTATCTATTCTATGAGAAACTACCTTTCTAAGTGAAATTCAGAAATCTGATTGGTTCTTTCAGTAGTTGCTAAAGCGGGCTTTAAGGTCACTCGAAATTATCTTTCCCCACATGTTATATAGCTTGAAAAAATCTATTGAACAGATCACTCATTTTTTGTGCTATTAAAACCCAACTGTTCAATTAGTTTCCTAGTGAGGCTTTGCTGTTTCTTTTAACGATTCAGAGCTGTAAGCAGTATTCAGACGAGTGATTCCATGAAAATTTGGAGTGACTCTAAAAGTCATTCCAGCAACTACGAAAACAACCAGTTGGATGTCTTAATTTTTCAAAAAATATCTGCTCAACCGAAATAAAAAGATACAGTCAGTTATTACAGCCGTTGCTAAGGTGAACTTAAGAGTCATGGTACTATTCAAACCACTGTAACCAAAACAAAGAGTGACTTTAGAAGTTACCCTAAAAACGATTGAAGTACCCAATTAAACTTATTTATTTCGGCCGGAAAGTTAGATTTTCATCAAATCATAGTCGGATTGGTTAGATCAGCTTTAGGTTAAGTTCTCTACAAAGTCACCGAAAAAAACCTATACTATCAGGCTTATTGGGTGAACACTTTTTAGTTTAAGACCATTCGATCTTGGTAACTATTCTTTGGTTTTTGTTACACGTCACCTGTTGGGCATAAAATGAGATCTGGATAAGTTATGACAAGACAGGGACCTGAAAAGCGTAGCAGACAGTACATATACTAATATACACTCAGACGTGCATATCTGTCGGCAACTTCTTAATAAAGAAATTATTTTTTCGTCTCAACATGAGTTGTATTTTGATTTTCCAAGGACTATATGAAGCAAAACGTGCTAGACGATCTGTTATTATTTGTGACATTTTTAGTTTATTCCATTTCGTTAGATATCAGATTCTCCAACCACTTTGGGTTTTAACAGCATTTCGTTTGTGGTTATGAGCAGTGTGAGATAAATAGTGCAGCTAAGATTCATTCATTCTCATGACATATAGTGTATGCTTATAAAAAGTTTTCATGTGAAGTGAGGAGTAGTTAAAAGTCTGTTTATGCATGTTTATATTGTATTAACCACCGCATTGCAATTATTCAGTGATCTAGTGAGGCTAACGGAGAATAGTATTTGACATGGAACTAAGGAATTTCACCGTCCTTTAGAGACTATCAAATGACCCTGAACATACCAATGAAGAAGCAGTAGTTTTTTATATTTTTCAGTACAGAGATAACAGGGAAATTACAGTTGATATTGTTTTTTAACGATGTTCAGGAACTTATTTAAGTCGTTCACTGCTTTATTCAGTGCAAAATAAAAGTGCGTACGATAAGTATATTCGCCCACGAGATTACATTGAAATGAACCACCTGAAGTGCGAGATGGATTAAAATAGCTTGTCAAGCGGTCACCTGCAAATTATTTGCATGATCCCCTGTATAAGGATTTATAAATTATAGTTCATGAATTTAAGACAACATGAGGTTCATGACGTTGGATATAATTTTGATTTTGAAGTACAAAACTCGAAAAAGTAGACATAATCTATGTTTGTTAGCTGCTGGATGACTTAGTAGATTCTGTTAATTTATTCAGAATTCAGTGACAAATTTTAAGAAGTTAAAATAAATGTTGTAATCAGGTCTTGGGATGCACAACTTAGGCTTAATGTGCACTCTAGTGTGAACGTCTTGCCTGTTGTTTTATTCTTGTTGGTAAATACAAGCACATGAAAAATCCCTTAGAAGGTTTTATGGGGAAAAGGTTCTTTGCAATCCAGTACAAATACCATCATTAAAATACGGAATAACCCAGTCTCAGAATAACCAATCAGTCACCTTCAAATTGATTGGTCACTTCAAAGTACTTTGGTAGTCAATAAAGGACGGTAAAATCATATAATTCTACCGTATTTAGTTTTGTTGAAACTTTTTCAAATCACTAGCTGAAGTGAAGGGTGACTTATGAACAGAAGACACGTATCTATATGCAAGTCATAAGCGAATTTCGCAATGCCAAATTTACATTCAGAAATCTTCGGGGAGCGTCATTTAAGTATCACAAGAAATCACTTATCAGTGATTTTTTTCATATGACGCATAGTATAATTGTGGTACCGATATTCGACGTCAGAATGTTTATTTTTAGAAAAGATGAAATTTCATTTCACTAAGCATAGAACGTTGGACCGTATACTTGCTAGGCTATTTTTCAGGTACCAGGTACTTCAGGCATGAACAAAGAAAAGAAAATATAAACGAATTCAGCTTCCTACTAAGTCATAGTCAGTGTCCCAAGGTTGTTAAATTATTATCTACAATAAGACAAGTATAACCAAGTCATTCACTGAATATAAACTCTCTTAATTCAATTTATGATTTCCAGACGAAAACAAGTGATGCATTAAATGTTCTTAAATTCATGAATTTACCTGATTTACGATGACTTACTTTACCGGAAGTGTGTATCCCTTTCCACAGACTGAAGTAACAAATAACCATAACAGCTATGAAACATAAAAGTACTTGCCACTGAAGTTTTCCAAGATTTTCCACATTTGTATCTTTTGTGCGACCTAAAACTTGATTGCTTTACAAAAATAGGTACTTGGGAAGAATTTATTACTTATTATCAAGTAAATTATAAGGCATTTTAAAATGAATGGTCGGATACAAAATGAAACTATATTTTCTGGTTGCTGGTTGTTACTGTACGCATTCTCAAAATAAGCTTTTCCTCCCATGATCAGACGTAAGTAACCAGTAGTAATTGTACTGCATTTTTTTTAAAACCGTACAACCCTTCAATAAAAGTATTTTTAATTACAACATGTGTAACTTGTACATTCACTTGGTTCATAGTTGCCTATTATTCATTAAATGCGTTGGGAAATGTGTTCTAAGTGGTAAACGTTCTGCCTTTACTTCAGGAAGAGCTGTCACTTATCTCATATAAACAGTGAAAAGATGGGAAGTCATAATTCATTTATCAGTCGGTCTATCAGATTTGCAAGTTTGTGTTCGGAGGGAGAAGTGTAACTTCATGTCTGCAGGAAAGCAGTTTTTGGTAAACCAACCTCCCGAAAGTAGCAGCTGATGTCATGCTATTTAGTTCTTGATGGTGGTCGAACTCTGTGAATCTGGTTTGTGATGTATTCCACAAGCTAAGTGATTTTATGTATCGGAGCACTAAATGTAGTGTTGTAGTCTTAACTGAACAAGGTTTGGATTTCTGTTATCGATACTCATTCAATGGGGATATTTTCAATCCTTATCACCAAGCATTACAGTCAAAGACAATACTACTGAGGTATTCATATCGTAAAGACCTATTCCAGTAGAAGGTGAAGTATTGTTTCGACCCCTATAGCCTACAACTGTATCCTATTATACGTCATTGATTTTATCCTTGTTGCTTTCGTGTATTGTTGCTTTCTTCACTGATAATACATTTAAGACAGTGACCAGAGTACCGAACAATTTCTTTGTTAACAACCATTGCTTAAAATTCCCTAATATAGAAAGCTGAGTGATCACCACAAACTTAGTGGGTGAAAGTGTAACTGTTAGCCATCCATTTAAATTAGACTTACACCGAAAAATATGATACTGCCATATTTTACAGAAACAATAAAGACAAAATAAATATAAAGTATGTAAACTGCATGAAATATTCTCCGTCTGCTTCTAAATTAAAGTGATGATCTTTGAAGGCAATAACTATAAACCATAAACACTATCACTTACTGTGTTTTACTTGTATTTTCTGCAGACAAGTTGACAACAAGTACACTGTGGATGAAAATTGTTTAGCACTGAAATCATTCCTAACCAAGAACATGAACCCAAATGTGGTTTGGCATAAAAGGACATGTGATGGATGTCTACCACACTTGGATTGTTTCGAAATCTGTTTTTATGATTACTTTCTGCCTAGTTGTAGTGTGACTAGCAAGAAATAGTGAAAATTACTTTCTATTTCCTATGATACATTTTGAGGCAAAATGTCTTTTAGACTTTAAATTACTTTGTTCTTACTGATTATTACTCTACCTGTAGAGAAGATGTAATAAATGATGGGAAGCCACAACTGGTATAAGTAAATTAATACAGACTTCGTGATACGCTTTGCATCATACCGTAAGTAGAAGCAGTAGGAACTTTGATTTTTTCCTTCCAAAACCCTCAGTTTACCAATTTTAACTAAAGGTAATACCAACTGGGTTAACTACCTAATTTTGAACCATGTTTTATTGAAGTAAAAGATTACACTGTTCTCCTAAATTTTCAGTAGACTCCCAACATTTATCGCCATCTTTGAGCATTTCGCTGACTTACTTTCTCATTTTACAAAGTCAAGACACCAATAGGATATAAAGAAAAAAAAGAATCGGAGGAAGAATGAATAGATCGTTCTGTGACCTGAAGTAGATAAATACCTATCAACACAGACTTCAACTTAACTGACAAATAAGCACGGACTTGTCTGATCAAATAATCCTAAAAGACTTAGAAGAGCATTTCCATTACACTTCCTCAGCTTTTTTTCAAATGTATTGAACCAAAAACAAAAGTGAATGGTCATCAGACATGCAGCAGATAAATGTGGTACAACTGAGGTCAAATTATTTCAGAAATTATGAATGTGGGGATAATTTCATGTTTACTTTGATTTGAAGATGCCATTATTGTAAAAAAATACTGATAAACAATAACAGGTCTGTGATGCCCTTAGATGTCTGGAGCCGCAAATACAAAACAGTGACGGTGCCAGTAAGTCTGGAAACTTGACACGAAAGGGTTGGATAAACCCTTTCATCGCCGACGCTACTGCGATCTGGGCTTATAATTGTTCCCAGTGAACGAGAAATTTCTAGTAAGTACAAGTCATAAGCTTGGGCTGATTACTCCCATGTCCTTTGTATATAACACCCACCACTACTACCGATTAAATGGCTACGTGAAGTCCTTGCATTCTTGTTGTCAATGTGGCTCTGGGCTAGAGTGACACCAAGAAGATGACCTAATTTAACTACCTGGAAGAAGTAAAAGTAGTAGCAAGGTTTCTGTAGGTTAACCTGTGGAGGCGTCACTACCAGATATCCCAATATATATACAAATATATAAAGCAAGCTGAGATCATCGACGTACTTCTCTATAGGAAATGGATGAGTTGTAAATCCATTCTCATGCTGATGACATATAAATATGGTACACCAAGACATACCGGTAAAATCCTTATATCAAGAAGGATATTGAAGTAATGGAAAAAAAATTGTAGCTCAGGATAAGGATGATGGCGGTTTGATGTTCTCTGAGCTCTGATATTTTGTCGTGAACACATTACCGGGCTTGGTAGCATCTTCAACGTTTTTTGAATAATTTAGTACTGAAGGTATCACCAAGCCTGGTGATGATATGTTCATAACAAAATATCCAAGCCCAGAGAACACTAAACCACTATCAAGAAGGATGCTCAGCAATTCCTTAAAATTAGGCTCTTGTAAAAATTTCTCTACAATATTACAACTACTATCTTCCAACCAACAGATTTTAATTAGTCACATTTATCATTTAATTTAATAGTTAGTCGGAAGATGACTGTAAATACACTCATGAAAGCTCCAGAATAGTAGAATTATGGGAGGAATATGCTTGAAAAAAAGGAACTAACCTGAAAAATTCTTCAACAGGAAAAGTGTTGTTACTACTGCTTCGAATAGACAAGTTTTCCCATATGTTGACTGAATCATTAGCTGTCAAATGAATATCTATGCACGTTTCTGTATTCCATGAGTTACCACATGACATCCATGGCAGATTCGGTGTAAACGATACACCTAGATAGTAAAGCGACCAAGCGATTATCATATTATAAAACCAGTCAGTGTAGAATGCAACCAGTACAACACTGTAGCCGACACCTATATGTAAGAAGTTGAGAAAATAAGGCAAGCTTCTTATGAGTACACTTTAAAATTACTTTTTTAACAAGGGTTTATTAAACGCAAATGTTCAAAGATGATTTTAGGCAGAGATAAATCGCACCCTCTCTATATAGTTGAGTCTATGCCAATCAAGCTAGTAAAAAGTCACCATTAGGCTTAACTGCATTCAGGCGTTACTTTCGTCTTAATCATGATTGCATCGAGTAGTGCATTCCTTATCCTATGTTCTTTCATTCTCTCATAAAATTTACCAAACAGAAGTAGTATTTGAAAAAGATGAACTCTCTTTCGAATAAACAAATCAGGTTCCAAGAACTATTCAACTTAACAGGTTCCAATAAGAGTATGGAGAAACAACTAACAAACAACTTTGAGAAGTTGAAAAAAAGGAGGAATCTCATTAGTTATGTACGTCTCGCTTAAGCCCAAAGCATGATACATAACACATTCATACAATCTGGGTAGAGTTCACAAACCTGGGCTTTCTCTTCATACAGTTTTAGATATACCTATACTTATTCATACATACATGCTACAGCATTCTGATCGTTTTTGATACCAAATTCACTACACAAACCTTAGTTTAAATGAGGTGTCTCAGAACACAGTTCCATTTTAAAAAAGGACTTAAATGCAAAGAATGCTATTTATTTTATCATTTTTGTATGCGCCACTATCTGAATAGACTGAATTCTAGTGTCAGGAATGGGTCCTCTTTTATCAGTCACTTCGGATGAGGTTGAAGGAATCCATTGACGTTTACTTTAGGTGACGTCAAAAAATGAATGTATCTGGATTGAAGCATTAGGATATCTTGACCAATGTTTCTACAGTACACTAAATACTAGGTTAGAATTCCTCAGGATAAGGAAGTGCTACCATGTTCAGCTGGATGTTTGACTATGTCTTCTCTGGAGGCACTAATGACATTCCCATCTAATAGAGCACAGACAATTCTAATTGCCGTCTGTTTCCTGTGACTTATAAGCCCCAAACGTACATGCGGCGTACTAGCTCATGATCGGAGTCCAAACAGGTACTCCAGAAAGAGTGCCAATCCGCCAGCGATGCTCTCCGACGATGGCTTATAACAATATGATCTATCTATATCCATCTTCATTCTGATGCCGGCAGAAGCCAGGGGAGAGAATGTCTCTCCTAATCCCTAAAGTTAGTGCTAGTCAAAAACAAATGACTGTTAGAACAAAGTTGCAAGAGATGATCATCGTTATCGGTTCGTTAACATAGGATTCCGTGGATACCTCTTACATGTATTTTTGACTGACTCAGCTTTATCACTTGAGAGTTGAAGTCCCCTTGCTATTTTGGTTATGTAATGTAGACGTTCTGCTTCATTTAACTAGTGACAGCTTTTCGTAGAATTCATCCTTTGTTTCACCCAAACAGCAGTCTTCTGGTGTGTCAACGGAGGTCACGAACAGGCGTCGCCCAGTGTCACAATCCTTCCTAGTTCACACGGATCCACTCAATCAAACAACACATAAACGGGTGTTGACTGATATCCAGTCCGAAAGTGCAATTTCTGCTGAACGGCTTAACGTCATGCTTGCACAAGTGAGTCAGGGACAGCTAGCCACTAAATCTCCGAATTCTGGTATTATGAATTTTGAAGCTTCACTACTATGGCCAGGTGAGGTCAGCTTAATAATCACACTCAGATCCTGTAAACATGTCTCAGCATATATCCATGTTTCCTGATTTCAGAGTTATGGGGAGCTATGCTTGCTACACAATTCGGTGTACAGTTAGAATGTTGAAAGCTTTAATGTGGAGTTGGCTTCAGTTAGATCATTGCGAAATGCAACTCAAGGTAGTGGCCGTCACTCAAATATTTCTCCGACATATGGTTTGAAAACTTGTACTTTAGTAGGTTTAAGTGATTGAAGGTAACGATACTAAGCCCAAGAATAGTACTTTTGACAAATATCATGGGGTCTTATTTCAGATTCAACTGAATGGACGCTGCATCACAATAATAAACCTACACCACCTATTGTATAAATAAGAAAGGATGGTAGAGATTCATTTAAGTAACAAATAGTTTTGTTTAGAGATTCATCACACCGAGTTGTCGACTCATACTGTACTTTATAGAGCTTACTGGATTCTATCAACATTAAAAGTAGCGATGTGTGATGTAAGAAAGAAAGAAGTTTAGGGCTAGTGGAATGGCGTACATAAAAATTGTAATCCACTAAAAATGTTAATAAATAAGATGGGTTAGAAAGTGATGATTAGTTTCTACTTAATTTGAAAAAGATATTTAGTATTTAAAATGTTTTTATTCTGAGTTTCTGGAAGATTCCTTCGCATTTTGTCAGGTACGTCAACTAGTTTTTTCACAGAGTATGGAAACATTCAGTTAGGTATTTTTGCATGATTCTATGTGTGAATGTCGGTGTTGAGTAGTATCCATTTTACCCAACTTCATAGGCAAAGGAAGACTGCGAAATTCGCAGAAAAGATAATGAGTAGTCAATAATTAAGTGGGAAACTAAACGCAACTTTTTTCTTTAATTACGAAACAAATCTTGTTTTCATCTATCTCAAAAGCTATTCAATCACGAGAAAAACTTCTAACTGAAAAATGTAATTCGAAGGGATTAGTGGCAAAAATTGCTTCTTGCCTATTTTTGCTAGTTTGCTTCCGCATTGGTATTTTTTCGAACCACTAATCAGAAGTTATAGAGACTACAGGTATTTCTAAATGAAGGTTGATTCCAGAAGAGGGAAACAACAGAACTCCATTTCATGAAGGTGTGTTCAGTTAAACAGTTACGAATCGGATAAAATATACCCCATAGATCTCACTACCACTGTCAAACTGTACGATTGACTATGCTTACTGTTACAGTAATTCAGCCTTCCGTAATTCCATACAGTTTAAAAACTGCTAATCACAATGATTTTACACATCTCTTCCACTATAGTCTTTATTTAACTTTTTTAAAACAGTTATAAGATGACTGTGTTAGAAGTTTGGACATTTAGATTGCGGACAAATAATGTTTATACCCGTTGTATTCACATCCACTGAAATACTTAGTCTATACATCCAGAGGACCATGGTAGCTCCGTGTTCTCTGAGCTTTGGTATTTTTTCGTTGACATTTCATCGCCAGGCTTGGTGATATTGTCAGCACTAACTTCATAAGGAAGTGAAGCATTTTTCAATGCTACATGACTGTTTAGATGGTGTTTTTGTTAGCCAAAAGTGCTGTCCAGCTGTAAATTCGGGACCTTTTTGATCTTAAGTTTCAGTCAATCACGCTACTAGAGAATCTTTGTTACAGTTAAGCTGTGCTGTATTGTTGAGTTTTTTTGGGGTAATTCACATTTGGTTGACGAATAGCTGTTTTCTTCCCAATTAGATTGTAGGTTGGATGTATATTCACGTCTGTCGATTGGCATTTTGTTGGAATGTCATACTTAAAGAAATCCTCTTGTGGCTTTCGAACCAGCTCTTTGGAGGATTTTTACATTCTCCCAGTAGAATTTGCAATCCTGATTTTCTCTGTGTAATACTGCTTCACTGCTGATTGACGTTCATGAACTCCTAGAGCAATACGTCGAGTGAATTGACCAATATAGTGTTGTGAACATTCTTTGAAATTGATTTTATAGATTACATTTGTCTTATGTTACCTGGACAAAACATCTTTCAGCATGCATAACATGTTGTTTTATGGGCCACTCGAACTCCTAACGGATGAAGCGATAAGTTGGCAGTTTCTGAGACATTTTTAATGGAGGGATAAAAAAAACACTTTTATCGATTTGAGGTAATCGCATTCTCTTCTGTTGTGCTGATAAAATTTTTTCGATAAGGCTTAGTAGATATTCATTGACTTTGAACACTGTGTAGATATAGAACAGTGAGTTTCGCATAATCTGAACTATTTTGGTCGTTCTCCAGAAGAATACCCATCGCTTCCTTTGGTAAAGAGTGAAGTGACATCAAAATATACTATCCCTTCAACACCGTATATCTTTAAATCTTTTATTTTGTCCAAAATCTTGGTTACTGAACTGGCTTTCTTCACTTCCATCAACAAGATACTTTATTTTTCTGTATAATTCTTTCGACAGATTAACTGAAGGTGTCTGAGGTAATAAAACTACTGTTTGTAGTGGAAAACAAAACATCAAAGCTCTAAGGACACCAAAAAACATCTTCCTTATCCTAAGCTACAAATTTTTTCAATCATTTCAAACTAAAGGATCATATATAACATAGAGATAAATGATTCGAGCAAACATTTCACTATTTAAAGGCATGAAGTAATGATTTATGACGAAAGGGAAGGTTCATCATTTATACAGAACAAAATAAATTATCAGACTGAAACAAACATGATGCATTGGAAGAATCAGTGAATGAAATATGTCTTCAGAATACGTTTTTCGTGTTCTTGAAATCTTTTTCACAAAGCTTCGAGATTCTAACCGCAATAAAAATATCTAGATTCACTTTTTTTATAGAACATGGAATACTGTTTTGTGATAAGTAGCTTATAATTTCCAGGTTGGTGTTCATCATGGATTGAAATCAGTTGGAGAAACACTGCAAACCTGAGAGCACTGCACAGGTGCTTTGTCTGAATATGGGACTCCTCAGCAGTGTGCACCCATAACCCTACAAGTGATCGAACCCAGAACCTATAGGCTCCGCGGCTAGCACGTTACCATTGAGTTACTGGGTCGGAATTCAATGGTCTACATTTCTTACCTTTGTCAGTTCACGATATAGCGCGACCTCCATCTAATGCCTCTAAGTTTTGTTCAGTGTCTCACTCATCACATAAGTTTGAAGCGTTGACCACTTTCTCATTCCATACTATCTACATTATTAGTCAATTATTTTTGGCGCAAATCATAGTTACTTAGACTTGCATTGTTAAGCACTGCAATATGTACATGTTATCACCACGGCAGTTAGTTATTGCTACTTAAACCAATGAACATGAAGTTTAATGGAATTTCATATTCTGATTTAGACTAACTTCTTGATGTGCCTTATTGTAAAGTTTGTATCGTAGTAAAACCATTGGTGAAATACCAACTTAGTGCTGAAGTAAAGTTTAACCCTAATCACACATTTGGATTTATCTTGAAATCAAATGATATAGTATATACTGATTTACTGACTTAAATAGTGGAGAAAATAGTAAAAGTCAATTTCTGATTTTTAAAAATCTTCATTACTGTTACATAATCAAAATGAACTAACCTTTAAGAAGTGGACATATTCTCCCCCATGACGTAATCGCACCTTTACGAATGAACTGTCCCAGTGCCAATTCCATGTAGAACAAAGGAATACCACCGAAGAGAAGCATAAGGCCGTAAGGAATCAGAAAAGCGCCTTTTATGAGGAATAAAGAGTTAGATGTAAAATGTAAGGAGTTTGTCGATAGAACGTATTGTATTTACAAAAACATAAAATGTTGACCATGGTAAACATCGTACATAAGATGGCATAGTTTATGAATTCCACTGATTTGTTATTGTTTTACAACTTCTCACTTCCTTCACCAGATAAAGAGGTTATCTTAATTAATGAAACCTCTTGAAAGTAAATAACATTACTAGAAACGACTCTGTCTGAATATATTTTGCTTAACTAAGGTCAGAAATGGACTACCTAATAGTCCATTAATTCAAGTTTCAAAGTGTATGCCTGAATTCCAGGATTCCTGTCCGTAGAAAGATTTTTTAAGTAGGTTCGTTGGCATTTCATCATCTTCCGTTGAAACTGTTCGTGAATGGTGGGGCCAACCAAGTCGAACATGAGGACAGTTACTAAACGACATCATTGAATGCAGGTCGTGCTATATTGAGGACTGACAGAAGCAGAAAATATGAACCACTGAATTTTGACCCACTGACTCAATGGAAACGTGCTGGTCTGGGTCCTGATCCTGCACTCGATCGCTTGTGAGCTCATGAGGTCATGGGTGAGCACTTTCATGGAGTCCAATATTGGGGTAAAACAGCTGTTCAGCGCCCCCAGGTTTGCAGTATTTCTCCAACTGAAGTCAGTCCATGATGAATAGCAACCTGACATCAAAAGTAGATACATTCAGTAACAATTCAAATAGTACAATAAAATATCAGTGTTCATATGGATAACTGAAATCTGGAAGGAGGATTTACCAGAAAATGGGGAAAATTCACATAACACATACGGTAGTAATTATGAAACTTGTTGAATGAACCATAATGTAACCACGTCATGCTTTTCTTGTTTCTGTTTATCTTATCATCGCATTCTCTTAGATGCTTGATACTCTAGCAAAGTAACACTTAAAGTGAGTATGATTTCTTTTTCCTTTTCCATGATCTTAAGCGGTAACTTCACTTATATCTGAAATCAATCTATGATCCGCTGTATTTTTATTTGTGTGGAAAAATAAACTTACCTAAAGAAAGGATGTGTTCAGTTAAAAGCAGAGTTTTAAGATTCATTATTAAACATTTCAAAGAATAATGTATGAAACCAAATTAGTGTTGAGCACATACCTTAGGATTTGTCTTTCCTTTACAGGGAACTTTTTCCTGAAGTAACCTTACTCATTGTAAGTGGAATAAGATTCTTGGTGTAATGTAGTTATTGTACGTGTCACAAAAGATTCCTTTATCGAGTGATATCAAGATTTATTATCCCGTATATTGAGTCAATTTTTGATGATTAAATAACTTTTGATAATTCAAGAAATTAACTGTTTTAAAGGTACTTGTGAATTCATATTTTTTTAAGCACAAACCTTAACTTTATACGCTGACTCCTATTTTTTCAAAAATGGTTCACTTAATACTCAATTTACGTAGATATTATTTTTCATATTTAAACAGCAAGAAGAACATCAAAGCAAGCTGTTCTTCGTCTACTGCTTCTGGCAGACAACCATCATCGTCTACAGCGAAAACATTATCAGTAAGAGTTACTAGACTGATATCAAAACAACCTTTATAATTTTGTATAGAATCCACCAGGGACGTATACTCACTTTTTTTGAAGTGCTAGCTATTCAAAAAGTTGAGCTCCTATTGTAAATTTAAAAACAGTTTATCCTTAGGCTAAACGTACCCTGGTAATGCTTATATTATCGTATCGCAAAAGTTGTCTTCAAACTTTATCATTCTCCCTTCATTATTTTTCTCATTATTAGTTTCTTTTATATCATATTTGTCCTTCCCCCACCCAAGTTTTTATATGAAATGCCTTAACAATAAATGTGTAATCCGATGGTTCGAAATATATTGCGCAAATGCATCACATTTTTCAGATAATCTAAGTCTTCTTATTAGGTTATCTCCATTCCTAAATTCTGTATCATCATAATTACTTTGCACGGTGTTATTTAATTATCCTTATGTATCAAACAATGGGATCAGTTAATCTACAATTATATTTTTGGAAATACACAGAGCAAACTAGTTATCTATTTTATACAAACATAGGGAAATAATTGTCTAAGACTACGATCTATAATGCTCTCTTTCCTGATAGTAAGTAAGGTCAACATATTCCCCTGAGTTTTGATAAGAATTTATTGTATGGCTGTTAAAAGAAAATTTTAATTCTCTTATTTATTGCCCCGTATCGGTTACAATAGGCTTGGTTGCTTAGCATCGAAGTAACTCACTGTAAAGTTAAGTGAATCCATACTGAGTCGTCGAAAAGTTTCATATAATTCCTACTCATTTTTAACTTTTAAGAAGAACATGTATAGAACTACATATCAATCTTTTTGTAAGATATCCCGGTACTACTAAAATGTTTCACAATTTCATACATGTTCATTTATACCAGTTTTTGAAACTAATACCCTTAAAAACTGTTCCAGCTGAAGTTCGGTACAAAATATGACTGCTGTACGACTAGGCAAAATTATTAGACTTTGAGCTAGCAGAAGTATTTTAGGGTCTTGATAAAATCAGAAGAACTAGAAAGAATGATATCAATAACCGTTCATTTAGTTATTCATGAATTTGGAAGTGGATGAAAAGCATCATCAAGAGGATAGTTATTCTTTAAAATCTAAGGTCACATGAGGGATGTAATAAATAGTGTAACTTACTGATATTGCTTAGTACTACGCGTAAGTAGAATACTCTAACGTTGTGATATCATCTGGATACCAAAATACCATGTTTGCTGAATTTATTGTCAGGCAGCCGCGTTCGAGGAAGTCAGACTATTTTCAAGTAGGAACTAAGTAGCATAAGTGGAACTCAAACTTTTAATTACCCCCACAAATCTACTTCCTACGAGAAATATAACATAACATGCACAGCTTGATATTTCACATACTGAAGCTCCTTTTGATCTTTACAATGAAAGACAGAGAATAACGAAAATAACCGAGAAGTGTCTTTGGTTTTTAATCTTCCACGTTAAATTCCTTCATCCGTTTTCTAAATATTTGCTATGTGTTATGTCGTTACAAAGAGAAGTATTCCTAATACTTAAGCTTTTCTGGTTATTCATATATTCGATATTGAGGTACAGTTATTCTTTAAGTGGAGCCTTAATTATAAGCCAGTCAAAATCAGATTAACATAAATTATGAATGTCAGCCAACAGATTACCCGACAATCAATAATAAAAAAGACATAAGGAACAAGCTCATTTTACTCAAAGAAGCCGGTGTTATATAATAAAACGAATTATTCGTGGATTCAAAGTTGATTTCAACGTAGGTGAACTATTCTTTTCACAGCACCTTATCTTCAGGTACTTTAGTACAAAAACTACAAATATAAAATTTTCTTAAAATCTGCTTTTGCTACCAATTACCTAGTTTATAAATGCAGAACTTGGAAAAAATTAACCTGAGACTATACTTGTTCAAGTTGGCTTTTTTTAAACTTTTGAACCTTCCAATGTCTGAATACGGTTATGCCTTTATTGGAGTTACAAGTGAAGAGAACAGAACTATGGAAAGAAACACATCTCAATAGTCAAAACCTTACACCTTCATGAAACTAATGGGAAATGCTATCAGTAGGTTTAACTCTGATTCACTCTGATTCACGACATCCAGACAATTGATTTCTGCTTATGAAATAATTGAAAAAACCTGCATGATGTCAGAAACTACGATGGGATATAGGTATGAGTTGATTACAGCAAAAAATGGCATGTCGGAGAATTTTTGAGAACCTTAACGCCCTAATTTATCACATATATTGATAAGACTTTGATCACTGCATTCGTTTACCTAACTTTACTTAGGTGAAACTGGACGTTTATTGGACGTATCTACAGACTACGGCATACTACCTGGGATGCGCACGGTTAATTTTCTAGTGACATCAATCTGAATTTCTCAAAGTTACAAAATACACTAGGGTCGATTGTCATTTTTGACGACTGACCGAGAAAGCTACAGTGAATTCATCATATTTTGTTGAAGTTTTTTTCTTAAGATTCATAGAGGAAAGCAAATGTTCAGCAGCTGTCTTTAGATCAAGGGATCATAAGCACCCTAAGGGATTTCGATGCTATTTGTTTATATCTGTCCCGAAGTATGATCTCTATGTAAGTAAGCATAAGGTGCCACTTGAAGTAACTACACTTCATAGAAACTATATATTGTACAGATGTCCTCAGGTTCAACCACTGTGATTTATCAAAAACATCATTCTTCATATCAATGAACTTGCTTTTACCGCGGGCGATAGGCATCACATCTAAATTCATCTTTCTGTCATTCTTACTGCGCGTAAGCTTTTCGAATTCTACTACAGCCCAGGTTTTCATTTTACTTTCAATCATCTCGTATCAGAAATACCAGTCTGCTAAACTATGATTATTTCGGACAGTCACATCAACAATCTATCCTTTGCACGACCTATCTAATTTAGTTCGACTTCAATTCCATCAAGAAGATCAGACTAGGCGGCTTGTGCATTGATGATGAACAGATAGTATGGTATAACGCATTCTTTTAGCAGCTAGATAAAACTGGAGGTGATCGCAGTGAAAAGTGAACGAGATGAAACACTAGCAGTAAATGGTTTTTATGGATTAGTCGGTAGATCGATGGATACGTCATAGAAAAATTCATGAGTTCAAACCATATCATGACCTCCTTTTTAACACTTCACCTTCAGTTGTTATGCTAAAAAAATAGCGAAATAATTGACCTTCGTACTTAATAACTAAACTGACATCTCTGTGGACAGCATATCACTTTTATTATTTTAATAAAGTATGGGTAACAAACGGTGAAACTGGATTACAAATATCAAATACTGTACTTGACTGTATTTTCGATATTTTAAGTGCAACTTATCTAAAAACTGAATGTTTTCTTAGAAATACTAGCTGATGTTTTCAAACTGTAAGTTTTTATA